TATATATATATGCATGGGGAAAGGGCAATAGGGTATGGATAATTCTCATTTTGTAGCCACAGATTAAGAATTTCTTTTTATTTATTTATTTATGAGTTTGAGTCTCACTCTGTTGCCCAGGTTGGACCTGCTGGGCTCCGGCAATCCTTCTGCCTCAGTCTTCCAAGTAGCCGGAACTACAGGTGCACACTACCATGCCTAGCTAATTTTTTATTTTTATCGAAGAGACAAGGGCTCGCCAAGTTGCCTGGGCTGGTCTCGAACCCGCAGGCTCAGGCAATCCTCTTGCCTCGGCCTCCTAAAGTGCTAGGATTACAGGCTGAGCCACCAAGCCCTGCCTTCTTTTTATTTTTTAGGGGTGTGTATGTATGTATAATCAGCAGCCTACCTAATTCCCTAATTGATCCAGTGCCCCAATCAATTGCAGCTATCACTCTCCTGACCTGAGACAAAGAAAGTCTAGGGGAGAAAGTCGGATAAAGGGGGAGCCCTCAGAGAGATGGGAAGTCTCACTGGCAGAGCCTCCGCTGCCCTTTATAAGATGAGGAGAGAAGCAGAGAATTGCTAGGATGTGGTCACACTCACAAAACCTACTTGCTGGCAAGAATTTCCAGGTATGTTTTCATTTTTCTTTCTTTTAACAGCTTTATTGAGGCATAATTAACACACCATAAAATCCACCTGTTTTAAGTGTACAATGCAATGACTTCTAGTAAATTTACAGAGTTGTGCACTCAAGGTGTGTTTTGTTACTTCATTTAAATATACCCCAATGACCAGTAATTTGATTGTCCCCAGAAAGTAACTTTTCCAAATATCTATCTCTATCGCATCCCACCTCCACCTCCACCACCATTTCCATTTCCATCTTTTTTTGGATTCATTTTAAACCACACTAAGTGCAGGCTGGGTTGGGTCATGGCGATGGAATGATAAACTTTGCAATGATGGAGGTGCTTGACTTGAAACCTTCTTGGACTAAATCCTAAGGATCAAAAGCGTGTCTCTCCACTACTTCTCTCTCCAGTATTCCAGAGCCTTCACCTAGCATCTGCCTTTTCTTCTCTTGAGTACCCTGCGAGAATGCTGAGAAGCCTAATGTGTGCATGTGGCAGTGGTGGGAACTTAACAGACTACTAAGAAGAAAGGTCTTGAGAGACTGTGATTAAGTTTAAGAAGAGGAGTTTCACTCCCTGGTGCTTGATGCCTCTCACCCTTTCCAAAATGCGGCACGGACTAGGATCTGAGAGAAGAGGGTATGCAACAGAGGACACCTGCGTGGGACAGTCTGTAGGAAGCTGAGCTGTCTTGAGAGGGCAAACAGTAGACTACTACCAGGGAGTCCATTTGCTTTTGTTGCAAAGTCTGGGTCTAAATCCAGCATGCAAATGAAGCCCAAGTTTTCACACCCTGAGAAAAGCTTGCTTGGTCTCCACACTTCTGACAAAGCCCAGATTCCCATTCCCATGCCTTTCCTTACCAATGTGGTAGAAAACCCCTGTTCCCACTGTGAGGGAGTGCTCAGGGTGAAAGCCGTTCCCAGTTTCAGAGAAATACCACAGACATTTCTGCAGGAACAAAATGGAACTTAGGAGGGAAGGCCCAAGGGACACTTCAAAGGTTCTCCAGGAAAAGAGAGTATCTCCCACCTCCAGTCACCCCCAACTTGACAATTTCTACAGGTAGAGTTTGGGGACCAGATCACAGAAGATACATGAAATGCCAGCCCAGCAACCTTTGCTCAGTGTGGTATCTATTTGTTAGTGAGTGGGATCCATTTGTTGGTGCTTTGCTATTTAGCTACTTTGAGGTCTCATGTCTGCCTAAATTCACGCCCAATGTCGTTGTCAACAGAAGCCTCATCATAGAGGAAACCCATATCCACTACATAAAATTTAAATTTGCAAAGAACATGAGCATGCCAGTCAGAGATACACACTCAAACTATGTATATTTCTAGATTGAATGAGGCTCCCCCCTCTTCTCTTTCTCTCTTGATTCCTGCCTGCCCTCCCCCTGCCGACCAACAGTAGTGAGATAAACAGATCACAGTAACGGGTTTTCTCCACATCATATGAGAAAGATGAAAACACGAACAGTAGGAAGCTGGCAAATCTCTGAGAAGTTTCAGGGCAGCTGGGAATTAATGGACAGGACTTTGCTTTTAGCTTGAAGAGGAAGAAAGCATCCCTGGTAGGTGCGTGGCGTTGCTAGGCAACCCCAAGCTACCCCCAGCACAAGTTCATTCTACTGGTGGCCTTCTGAGGAGGTGATTCTTTTGTGTTTGTAAAGTGCAAAGCCAGCTTCTGCTTAAGGAAAAACAAAACGTGGGAAGTAATTAGTCTGGAGGGCAAATGGGCACCAGGTGGCAGCTTTTCTCTGGAGAGGATGCTATCACTGAAATTGGATGGGCTTATAGGCTTACACTTGGGCATCCAGGAAGTCTCCTTTAGGAAGTCTTCTGGATTTCAGGCTAGTACTGCTGTCCTTGAGTGCCTAACTCCAAGACCACCAATATGGAGTCCCTGAAGGCATACCTGTTTGGTTCCTTGTTTATGCAGCTTGAGAGAAGATGGCTGTCTAAAAGTTTCAGGTTCTATAATGACCCTAGACCAGTGGTTCTCAACTAAGGCAATTTTGTTCCCCCCACCTCCAGAGGACATTTGGCATCATCTGGAGACATTTTTGTTTTGAGTTGGAGTCTCACTCTTGTCGCCCAGGCTGGAGTGCAGCGGCATGCTCTCGGCCACTGTAGCCTCGACCTGCTGGGCTCAAGTGATCCTTCCACCTTGGCCTTCCAAGTAGCTGGAACTACAGATGGAGATATTTTTGATTGTCACAATTTGAGGAGGGCGCTGCTGGCATCTAGTGGATAGAGGCCAGGGATGCTGCTCAGCATCCTACAACATACAAGGCAGTCCCCACAACAAAGAATGACCCAACCCAAAGTGTCAACAGCACCGAGGCAGAGAAACCTTGGCCTAGACAGAAAACCCTGTGAGATCTGACACTTGACTGTTTGCTCTTGGATCTGAGCCTGGCCCAGTTTCAAGGCACATAGAAGGTGCTTGAATGAATGAAAAACCATCAGGTGGTGGGATATCATTTCAACCTGGCCTATATTTACAAACTTGTCTGAGAAACATGAGAAAATAGTAGAGAACTTCCTCTCCAAGATTAAAAGTTCTCTTCCCAGGGAGAACTTTCAAGAACACCAGTGATATTGTGGGCTGGTTCTATCCTATTTCAACCTATCACGAACTGATGTAGAAATGTGGGATTTTAACAAACCACCAAAACCCCCAATGCACCCTTAAATGGTGACAACTCATCAGTTTTCAACACCAGTTCTCTAACCTGTAGACTCAGACTCCAACTTGGCACCTCAACGGTTCCATTTGTTCACTCTCAAGCATCTAAAACTCAACAGAATTCAACCTCTTAGTCCTTCCTCCCCTCAAATTCTGACCTCTTGATCAATAAATGGCACCATCACATACCCCATTGCTCAAGACGGAAACCCTGGAGTCTTTCTCAATGACTCTCCCAAATTCTCTCATTTCTTATATCTAACTCCAACCAAGCCTTGCCTGATTTTCCTCTTCCCTGTAAGAAGTCCTACCAGTCCTTCCTCCTAAATACCTTGGAATCTGCCCTCTACTCCCTCCCCTACAGGCACCACATTAAACCCAGCCATCCTCATCTTTGATCCAGACACTTGTCAAAGCCTCCTAACTGGAGTCCTTGTTTCCAGTTTTGCATCATTGTCCATGTCTCTCTATGCTGGTCACTGCTGGAAATACTTCCATAGCTTTCCACTGAGCCACAGGTGAGGTCTGAGGTCCTTAACCTGGCTTACAGACCTCACATGAATGGGTTCTTGTCACATTCCAAGATCACTTCAGGTTTTAGTCAGACTTAAGCCATATGGCCCTTCTTGTTCCCGTTCCTCACCTCCCTAACTTCCACCCATCCTGCAGATCCCCACTCAGAAGTCATCTCCTCCTGGAAGTTTCTCCAAAGCTCCCAAGCCCAGACTCTCTGCTCCTGCCATGGCAACATTACCTTTCCCGCACACGATCCTATCCACCCTGCTCTGTCACAACTGTCTGGCACTCCTCGATGCTTGCTAGACCATGTAGCAGCCCTTCCTTAAGACATTTTAGTGTCACTTGCTGGAGAAGTGTCATAATAAATGTG